AAATAAGTTTGTTTCCTCATGTTGTAGTGAGTGGTGACCTCCAAATACATTTGGTGCAATCGCTAAAGTAATAAAAAAGCGTTCATAGATACCCGCACTTATCTGCACACATGCGCAGTAAGATCTGTACAGGTGTCGATTCCGGTAAGTTATCCGGATCGCGCTTAGAAATCCACCTCGCTTGCAGGATTTTGAAAATGCGCATTACAAAAATCCTCTTGCGTTCACACTACTGCATTTATTCGAATTGTGACCTAATTCGCAATTTATCCGGATAACTGAACGTAGTGTGAACGGGGTATGCATGTCAGACTGGCCCCACCCTCTGTTGAGGATTAATCCCGGCCAGTATAATATAACTTCGGATGATGATGATGATGATGAGTAATCTAATATCCAGGCAATGGCATAGATATCCCAGGGGTAGAGGCCCTTGGGTGATTGATGCTTTTATTTCTTCTCAGTATCAACTTTTTTCATACTTTTTTTGTCTGACATGTAACAATTTGTATTAATGAATAGGACCCTCAGATCACTGATAGTAGGGTTGTCCCTGGGGGGTGATGTGATTTTTTAAAATAATTTTTTCATTGATGCTTATAAATAGCCTAACATAAAGACAAATTTCTTTGTTTATTAGCTATATATTCAGAACCCAGGCTCTGGCATACCTGTCTATTGGGGTGAGGTTCCTGGGGATGAGCTACTCCTGACAGTGTGGTCAAGTGTATGGATATATGTGCTATGGCTACCTGTTTACAACATCTAGTTTGTTTGTTTTCTTTGCAAGTTTTTTTTTCAATTATTCCTATACTGTTTTAAAATTCACAGTTTTGAAACAGCTGAAATGAAAAGTACAGATTATTTTAGGGATAACTTCTTGAAAAGAGTTAGTCTGTATTCAGAACAGTGAACTTACTAGTCTTTGGTTCAAATATGGCGATCCGCTTAAAAGCAATGGCGTCTTATCTGCTAATAGAGACTAAATAGATTGCCCTCAGCGATTTCGCAACAAGCATTCAAGTGTGTCAGCCATATTTAATCTGTGGACTGGTCAGTACGCTGTTGTGAATGCGGCTTTAGAACATGTCATACTTAGAAGTGGGCACATAGAGAGGATTCACTAACTAGTTAGCCCAGGGTATTGGGTGAGACACAGTAAGGTAGCTGTTATAGCCCAGGGTATTGGGTGAGACACAGTAAGGTAGCTGTCACATAACAAGGTATTGGGTGAGGCCCAGTAAGGTAGCTGTCACAGACCAGGGTATTGGATGAATACATTTTGTTCCAATTAACAGATCTATAAGTTTACCCCACAGCAGGACCCTGGTCTCAATCAGAGAATAAATTTGGACTCCCTGTTTTAATATTGGACAGCCATACTTTCACATTTTATGGCTCTTGTACACCCTGTCCCAGTAAAGTAAGAAAATGAATTTGGACTCCCTATTTCAAAATCCTGGGTAAATCCCTGCCTCACTGACTGCCATTTCATTTTGAGTGTTTCATCCATGCACTTTCTTGACTTTTGTGGATTTTAAGCATTAGATCCAGTTAGTGTCATCTCTTTTTATAAATTTGTAATGACGTAATGTAATGAGGTAATGATGTTTCTGGCATTATTTCCTCTGCAGGTATAACAGAAATCTTGAACTCTCATGTATTAAATTAACGTCTTAGTCTGCTACACAAACAACATTTGTTGCATATATGAATATGACACAAAGGATGTATTTAAAGTGGTGAAAGTATGTGGCATTACCAAGTAGTGTTATGAATTTATTATATATTAAAGCAATAATAACTCTTCCTTTGAGATTCAAAATTCCGCAAGAAATACATTGTAAAAAACGCATGGAAATATATTCTATTGCATTTTACCACTTAAACGGCCGTTATTGTAGTAAAACTAAAATCTGTGCTTGTCAGTAGGGCTTTCGATGCCTTTCTTCCCGGTCGTTAAGGCATCCGTTGCCAATGATGTTAGGGTGTCACGCGGATTCTCGTGTTCATACGAGACCAAAATAACTTCTGGCGCCACACGCCTGATGTAATACGCAGACGTAAGTTGCAAGTTTTTGTACAGTGCGTCGGATAACGAAACACCCAGAATAGCACACATTGTAGATATAAATGCATTTTGAGCAATAAGACGAATATATCTTATGAATCTTATATTATTGTTATATAATATTGTTGTTGTCTGCTTTTCCCGGGGTTTTAAGTAGGTCACCAGAAACTATCGCTCGATATCGCGTGACTATGCAATGTCAGAGAGGGCTCCGTCAGTTAAAATCTCTCCGTCTCTTAAAATCTCTTAAAATCTCTTAAGAGAATACTTAAAGTCTCTTAAGAGATTTTAACAAAAAACCGAACGTTTATCAAAAAACCCTGGACTAACTTTGAATGCATGAATGGGGTCGCTGACCATTGGTAAGTATGGGAAAATTGCCGTTTACTCCAGGAAAATCCAATTTTTGGCCAAAACGAAGAGTCATTATGACTTTAAGTATTTTTAATGCAGTCAGTTTGATGTTCATTATTAGTTATCTCCTCTCTCTGTTATCCTGATAGCAGGAATGAAAATTTTCAAACTTTTGGCAAATTTTCGACTTATTGGGATCCAGAAATATTGTCGAACACGGCCCCTTGGACCCCACACCATACTTACCATTTTTTTTGGTAAATAAAGTCTCATATCCCTATGATGGTCTTAGTACTTTCTTTAGTAGTAGTTGTAGGGAATGTATTCAACTTTTAAGCTTCAGTGTTGATATTGCACACACTGAATTAAGCAAGCAAGAACAGACAAAAACTCCAAAAATTATACACTCCACACATTTGACCCTCCTGGTCATGAAATGTGGACCAAAGGTGGTAACTGTTGTCTCTCAGTTGACTGAACTCAGATTTTACCCTTGTGATCCCTGAGGACTCCTGTATGAAGGTAGTCAAAGGGCAGTCAGGCAAACAATTATGCAGAAAAGATGAATAAAAGAAGATAAAAGAGCGATTGAATGTCGATCTACAGACTGCATGATGCTCAGTCAGTGTTGGACCATGTAGTGCCCGCGGATTGTATGTACAAGACACAACCTGTCTGTCCATTCTGGAAAGAGGACTGCTTATTTGAATTTGAGATACCCTTTGACGTCTACATAATGTGGTCACTTTAGTCAATCCATGTTGCCAGAGTCATGTACTTTTTTTGTAAATTTTATTTTGATTTAAACTCATAATAAATACTCATTGATTTCGAATGCAGGTCAGGATCGAAAAATGGGCTTTGACCGACATTACCTAACATTTTTTTTTTTTAGCTTTTGCTATTTTTTTGATAGATATGGCATTGTGGACACTTTCTCAACCAAATGGTCATAGTCAGTTAATTTTAGTTGAAAGCTGGTGGCATCACTTTTGGGTCTAAAATGTAGTTCAAGTTCAAAACGGAGCATACATGCTTTGATTATTCTGTGTAATTTTTCAGTAATTTTTTTTTTTTGATAATTTCAGCCTTGTTTCCAAACAGATCCCAAAGAGCCATTTGCATTCCTTGTTACTGCAACATCTACCTGTGACAAAATCATCATCATCATCATGACAGTTTCTGTTTTGTTTGCATTTTGTTGATTTAATACTGCCTTAGAATGCAGATTTATATCATTCTGATTATTTCCAGTATTTAATATAAAAATGATAAATGGAGGTAAAAAGAAAAGTTTACTAATGAAAAATTTTGAGAAACCAGGTAGTTTATTTCAAAGTATGTTTTGATTCACCAGTTGAAGTTTTAACAAATAAGGAATAAACAATTAAACCCAGTACTGGATACTAAATTAATGTATAGGTGATATACGTAGGAGCTCCATCCCCATAGACTTCTTGGTTGAAAGGATGGTTGAACACAAACTTTTGTTGAATACCCAAGAAACTCCTCCCTCATTCCCTTGGCCTTGGCCTGTGAACCAAAAGTTCTCTCTTCACTGCTACAACTCTGTCACTTTGTCCTGATGACACATGGGATCCAAATGTAAGGACACTTAGCCAGGTGGGTGGTGAACTATAGCTGTGCTTAGAATAACTCTGCCAAGATAAATGTGGCATCAGTCCCATATCTGTCTCTGAAGAAAGTTCTGGAATTATGAAGGTTTGTTACGTGATTTTGAAAGTGCCATTCCAATATACAGTTTTGTTATACTCTTCTGCAGCAATTTTAACCATGAAAAAAGGATTATTTCAATTTATTTAAAAAATGGTACCACAGTGAAAAATGGTGAAACAAGAGCATGAGATAAGGTAACTTTGTGATGTTATTGGTAACAAAGTTTGACTCTGGGTTTCATAGCCTGTGTATGTGCTGGTTCAAAACAAAAAATGGATATTACAGCTATAAAAGATTCAGTAGTCATTTGCACATTAAAGACATTTGTTTATTTGATACTTGAAAGATTGTTGTGTTAAAGATTAAGCTTAGATATATCAAGGCCTTTTAATTTGATATTTATTTAATTAATTTTCTAGTCTTTTTTTTAAATTGACTGATTTTTAAATTGATAATTGTTAAGTAGAAATTCAAGTTTACTGTGATGCTCCCTTTGAAAGGAATAGAGGTTAACAAAGAATTCAGAAAATCTCTCTCTCCTTCTCTCTCTCTCTCTCTCCTTAAAACATCGATTCTGACAAACTGTCATTTTTCCTTTTTATATTCCCTCTTTGTCAAAAGAAATACAACTGAAAAGACAGTGACCTTTTAAATGATTCTTTTGGTCAAAAAAAGTTCTGAGTAAATTCAGCAATGCATTTTATCAAGAATCCATTGATATTATCACTGGTCTGCATCTGTGTGTGCCTGATGTATTATGCATGAACCTAGGGCTTGTATGCATAGTCAATAAGTGGGGCTTGGGCAATTAGGAGGAGAGCAAGTGGTTACTTCACTCAAATAGGATTGAAGAATAAGATGTCTCTTACTATCATTTTAGTGATATTATACATATAGTGTGTGCATTTATCAGATACGTATCTTAGCAGTGTTTTTAAATGAAAGACATCATTTTCATTAGTGTCCATGCATTATTTTGTGAAGTAATTTTTGAAGGAAAATACTAGAGTTGACATGAGAAATCCCCACTTTTGATGCCCCTGATCTTTCCTCTCTCAAGGATCATACATATTCAATATGGGGCTCAATCTACATCTATAATGAAGCTACATGCTGTACTCCTTAAGTTGGACATTCTCTTTTCCTTACTGTGGTTGTATGGCAACACTTGGCTGATATTCCCAGATGTTTGTTCCAACTGGAGGAGCTATGATATTATTGCAGAGACCTGTGGGTGAGTACTGGGTTCGGGGGAGGGGGGGGTATCTAGATTTTTTTGTATGCAGTGGAGGTTGAATGATGTTGCTAGGAACTACTAGTATGTAAGTGGTAGAACGTGTGTAGGGTGAGGGGTGTGTTGGTGGGGGTATCAGGGTTTTTAGTGACTCTGAGGAAACGAAATTAGTTGGGCACACTTCTCTCCTGATAATAGAGTGCTGTTTCTGCTGGTGATATTTATGAATAGCCAAAGGTAGTGGATTTTAGCTGTCCTCCAGGCACTTTGCTTGTGACAGTCCGAGAGATGGACAGATAGACATAGCAGAGATTACATGGGATTGAAATCAGTGTATCAGTGTTTTTAGAATATTACGAGAGAAAAGTGATCTTGATGTTACATGCAGACATTATTGAATTTATTGCTCAGCTTTAGTTTGGGTATCTACTACCCAGCCAACACATTAGACTGTTCTGTTTAGAGAAGACCTGTACACTCTGAACTTCGTCATCTGAGACTCTTCATTTTCTTAGTGTTCACACTCCTGTAGAGGCTTATGTTACAACATGGATTATATATATATACACTGTCTGTACAAGTGGACATCACCTGCATCTGTCAGTATTGTCAGGGCAGCACAAGAGCTTGAGCAGTGCACAATTCTTGGTAACGCAACAATAGGGAAGCAGTCGTATCATTTTGCTTCAGATCCATAATAATAACCTACTAGTGTGCTTAGGTGCAGATTTAGTTCAGAACTGGGCTTTTTCCAATTGTTCTACATATTTTTTTGAAAAAAAAAATGTTATTTAAATAAATTGGTTTCAGCAGAAATGTCTGATTAGATCTTACAATATTTTCAGTGTATGTATATACGTGTGTGTGGTCATATTGGATTGTGCAGAATATGTCTCTTGTTTAATGTCAAGAACATAGATGGCAGTCTAAATACTATGTTATAAGTAACAATTAGAACAAATTTATTTAATTAAAAAATGGTATAAAGCATAGAATCCAAGTGCTGGGACAGTGATTCATGAGTAGGAGAAAATATGTTTTTTTTCTGGTGGAAAATTCAATTTTGCCTGAAAGTTCTGGATAAGATACTTTAAATGTACTTCAGTTCTGGGTTATATAAAATGATGATTTTATATATATTTGATTGACCTTTTTATAAATCTGAAATTAAATGAAAAGAGAGAGTTAGTAGGAAAAAGAAAGACAAAAGGTCTAACCGCAGCATTCTGTAATGTTTTTTCCAGCGCCTATAAAATCTGACCCAGAAAGCTCTGAGAGTCAAGATGGCGGGAAGGTCAAAGGTGAGACGACAGCATGGAATGGTTCAGTTGCATTTTGTGAAAGTGTATTGTTATGAGTTGGGATTTTTCAAACTTAAAGCATGTTTTTTTTTTCAGCAACATTTGAAAACTTTCCGATACACCATTAGTTATCTTTACTGAATGAGAGATTATTTAAAGGCATAGGGGTGATTTTTTTTCATCAAAAGAAATTTTGAAAGTGATGGCGAGTAGATGGGTTGTCTTTGTACAAAAATGACATTTAAGTAACAATAATAACACTGTCATTATTTATGGTGATTATGCTGTTGATTATCAAGCAATTTTTCAGACTTTACGAAAGGCCATTAAATCTGTCAGTCATACGGTCTGACAAGCTTGAAAATTCTGACTGACTGAAACAAAATTTGTCAGATGAAGCAAAATTATAGAAATACAAGGAATTATTTGTTTTCAGGTGTATATTTTGTCATTTTCAATCATAGACAATAAAACTAAAAGTGTTTTCTATTTATTTCATAAGCTTTGTAATAATTTTAAGACAGAAATAAATTATTTCCATGATAAGTCTGTACTTAATGAAAAAGGCATTGTAGAGTGACAGAAGGACCAATACAAGAATGAAAAACATGGAGCAAGTTATATTGTACATATGTCCATGAAAAGTGACTTATTCAGAAAACTATTTCACCCTTTTTGGGACAATTTAGAATGAGTAGAGCCGAGTGCTAGCTAGGCCACTACCTAAATATGGTGGATCACATGAGAGGAAGACTGCTTAATCCTGTAATGGTCTCTCCGCCTCTCACATGGCTCTCCACGTGTCGTCCCTGCAGGGGGACAATAATTAAATCTCGGCTCAATGCAACCAGTCAAGGAATGACGTGTGGGGAGCTGTTTGAGAGGCAAAGAGACCATTACAGTATTAAGCGGTCTTCCTTTCATGTAGGTCCGCCATATTTAGGTCGTGTCCTAGCTAGCACTCGGCTCTTCTCATTCTGAATGGCCTCTTTGTTTGGCCATAACATGTGTACTCAGGCCTACCCAACTATCAGACACGGCACCGAAGGATCCAGAATTCACCTGTTGATTGGATCATACTGTTGTTTTTCAAGGTGTGTATCAGTACACATTTCATAGTATCATACCCCAGGAAAAATTTTGAACTAAGACTGCAAGCTCAACCTGTCATCCCGGTATTGTGCCTCATTTTCAACAAGTAGGAGTATTTCGAATTCAATGATGTCATTTTTCTTAACAAAAGACTTAGCCATGAGTATTGCACACAACTGACAATGAAGAAACATAGCTTCAAGTTAGTAAGTAGTTTTGTTGTGTAAAGACATCATGAGAACGTTAACGAGCCTGTAAGTTATGTCATTTAGGAATCCTTCATCCTCAGCCAGTCAATAAGTAGTATTTGTAGAGTGAATCTGAGGTCATACTATCAGTAAATTATGTATAATTAGCAGAGAGCTCGACAAGAAAAGATACAAAAATGTATGCTTTAGATTTACTCATTCTAAGTCAGCTTGAAAACTTGCTGGACATAAGAACTGAGGATGCAGGATTTTTCATGAGACCAAGACGAAACTTGTTAGGCATGTCTGACAGTCTGACGCCTTTTGTAAAGTCTAATATTGCAACAAAATTGACAAAAACATTTTTGTGCATTTTTATCATTAAATAAGTTATTTGTCATTTTTATACTCTTTTAATGTTACTTCTTTTATCAGTTTCCACATTTCATGATGACATTATGTTATATGTCTTTTGACAGCTTTGTTACTTTAATTACAAATTGAATTTTCTAGTTGTGAGTTTGAAATTCCATGAATATTACCATAGTGAAATAGCCACTCAGTTTTAATGTTCTTATTGTTAATTTTGCAACAATAATTCGCCACCTATGCCTTTAACTTTTTTGTAGCAATGAACTGCATATTTGACATGAAGTCATGATAACTTTCTGCAGGGCTGCAAGTATTTAAGCATTTTCATATATGCATGAAGACTAATATATTGTGTTGTTCATGAAAGCCATTTTGCTTAATTAAGTTTGCTTGTGGCATGCATTTTTATGTAGCATTTATTTACATAATGTTTGCATAAAAGGCCTCATGGATTTCAGCACTTGATTGTTTCTTGTTTACCATAAACCTTCATTAGCATTCAACACATCCTAACTTGACCTTTTATGGCACCACTTGAGTTTGTAAATAAAGCATTTCATCATCACTGGCAATAAAGCAGTGACAACCATGATTGTTTGCCACAATTTTGTGCACATCCTGATGTCAAAGTCTTTTATAATGTGTTCCTATTGGCCACTTTGAAGGATTGTTGAATAGGTCTTTGATTTTTAATTGGAAGGGGCTGGAAAGGATCACACTACATGGAATTTTGCTTGTTTACTGCCTCACATATCATCTTTGGAGAAAGGGAGAGTTGCAAAATGAACAACTGGTGATGAAAGATATTATAAAGAGGAAAAATACTGCGGAAGTGGTCATAACATATAATTAAGATAACGTGAATTGTCTATGCTGACCCTTCCTGCCATCTCTCCCACCCTCTCTCCCACCTCTCCCTCCCACCCCCCCTCCCATTGCTACGTCCTGTTCTTAAACTGTCAATTTAGATTTGGATAATACATGAATTATTTTATATATTTATTTTTATCAAAATTGTTAATTTAGGGTAGAAACATAGTACTAGTAAAACGGAAATGTATCTTTCCCATGGCCCTCATGTGGTTTAATTTTTTGTTAAAAAAAGAATAAATGATAAAGTAGAAAAATGTTATTTTATGTTTTAACTATCAAAATAACAATAAAAAGTATTTACAAATCAATAACAACAAAAATCACAATATAATTTTTTGATGAAATTAATATAGGCTAATTTAAAACACTAATATTTTTGAATTTCTTATGTCATCATCAAGATAAATTAAATATCTGTATTGAATTAAGCAATAGATGTGCACTTTGCAGTATTTGCAACATGTTTGGCATGGTATTTACAACCACATTTGACATTAAGAAGATAGAACAGGGTTTAAATCAATAGGTGATAGTTTTTCTTGGACACAGGTGTTTTTACCCTCTGCAATGGTTTTGTTATATTTTAAGGAAGGGGGTATTGTACAACTGTTTGCATAATTGGTAATTTAAAAGAAAGCTAATGCTCAATGTGCACTAATATGCAGGAAGGAGTTCCATGTGCCCTGTTATACAGTGCAGGAGAGGTATATGGCAGGGGTCATGTGCATGCACACGTGTAGATTTGTATTTAAGTTTAGAAGGCTTTCTAAAGTTGTGATTAATAGATTCCTATAGATGTACTTGCTCTTTATGCTGCAGTTTACTTGGAGACATGGCAACCTAGTGCCTTTTAATGAAGAATTGTGTTGTAGCCCTTTACTCTGAATACTCCACTGTAGAACCAGCACATCTTATGAATGATTTATGATCTGGGCCAGCCCACTTTCATCATTTTCCATGTGATCTGCATGTTAAAGAATGGCAACAGTGTTAACTGTTTAATTCCTGAATGCTTATCTACTTCATTATCTCAGATTTCAGTTCCTTCAGCTAATGGCTATGTCTTTGTTCATTTCCGCAAGTTTTGTGGTTAAAGATGCAAAAAGAAACATGTTTTAGCAGTGATTTACAAATTCTGCTGATAACATTGACATCAGCATTATTTATTTTCAGTATTTAACTTCAACTAGGGTGTTATGTGGAAAAGAAAATTCTTAAGTAAGAATAACTTATTATTTCAATGCATTTAGATTTAAATTATAAATTAAATAAAAGGGCTCTTGATTTTCGGTTTCACTCATGAATTTGGAACACAAGACTTTTGCTGTTTTGAAAGACTTTGGAGGAGAGACTGAGAGACTAAATATTCCCTTATTCATATTATGTATTCTTATGAAGCTTAATTTTTTTCAGTGCTCTGCCCCAAAGCAGCTAACTAAGATGTTATTTACTGATATTTTGCCAGTGTTTCTTAGTCTGCCATCACTTAAACATCCCTTGCTGTTTTGAGCTGCCAATCCTAAAAACACAATATAATGAGCTTTTTAATTTATTTATGACTTTCTCAAGGAAAGATGATGAGGATGATATTGTTCTCTGATTGTTTGGCACTGTGCCTGACTGTGCATATATTACCTTACATTATTGCTACTTTTCCACGCCCTCTTTTCACGTGCTTGATACAATCCTGTTTTTTTAAGCGGTATATTATTCATGAATTGGTTAAAGTGCATGAAATATTCATGATGAAGGCTTTAGGAATAAGAAAGAATCCATAAGTTTCTGATTTGCATTAGTCAATTAGAGTCGAACTAAATTTGACCTGCTGCTAATTGATTTTATACCTATATTTGTTAAATATAAAAACTAACCAATGTAAAGAAGCATATGTTAGTCACAGTATAGTATATTAAATTATAATTTGATTAATTAATACTACAATATAATTTTTACAGAGAATAGAGTCAGTATACACTCGTCCCAAAAGTTCAGAAAGATGATTATTTTGAATAATTAAAGAATAACCATATGAGCTAAAGTAAATATTTAAATCAAATATTGATGGATAATGTACCCACCAATTCATTACTTCTTGAAATTTCTGTGGGATAACAGCAATATTTATGAATGTGGGTTCTTAATTTCATTTTCACAAATCCTGCAAATGAATGACAAAGTTTGAAGTTTGTACTTTTAGCAAGTCTTGATGATAAACAGTAAAAATCTTTATTTTAGGCATAATGTTTTAAAATAAAGTCTTGAGGTTACTCACCATAAGTTTCGTGTGAAGCCTTCAGTGTTTTTTGTCGAGACTTGCTTAAACTTTTCATGACAGTAAAAACTTTTACTGACTTTTGTCATTTTGATGCCAAACGTAGCTTGGATGTTTGGAGAAACAATACAGATGAAACTCCTGTGTGTATAGAAGTTAATCAAACAGTGCCACATCTTATATCCACAGAATTGTTTCTAGGAAAGGAAAAACAAGCTGGAAGAACATTGGCTTAGTCTTTTCTAGCATGTTGTATGGTGTCACAACCAGCACAACAGTGACAAGTTTGTCACAACTAACAGAATGTAGCAAACTCTTGCCACCACTAGTATTGTTAGAGCACTATAGTTTTCAGCTGATTACAAAGTAATTTAACACCATAGACTAAAGTGTTCATTTTGTTTCAGAAGTAGGAATGAATGGAGACATGGGACACAGTGACTTACAGTCAAGATCTAATACAGGCAATGCTGTTTCAGATATACAGAACAAAGCCCTGAATCTGGTATGTTATAGATCACAAATATATAGCATAACATCTTACTGTGATAGGATTTCCAAAACTTTTTGTATGTGTTGAATTATCTGAAACAGTGCATTATAATTTAGAAACTGGCTGACTGGAATCAGAATGGTCCTGCTTAGGTGAATGGAAGGCTTAATGCAGAATTTAAAAAAATTGGTGCAGTAAGGGACCTTTTGTGACCAGTTCCTCTGGTGGCACTTAAAAACTTACTTTTTAAGGCACTGTTGTTCTTAAGGATATTGTTAGCCTTTGCCAAGAATTCCTTATTTACTAGATTACATACATTCTTTTCAATAACAGATAAATCTTCAGTATTCAGTGACTAAATTAAGGATATTGTTATCTTTTATTATTGTCCAGGTACTAAAAATGAGTTTTTTTCTACGTCTAATTATTTAATAATTCATGTCTTTTTGCTGATTTAAAACAATGTTTTGCAATGAGAGATATAAATGCCAATATTTTATATTTTTGAAGGCATTTTCATTGCTTTAAACCATCACAAACATAGATGCATTTTAATTAGATGCATGAAAGATCTCATTTTTGGTATCTGGATGATAATAAAGGCTTACAATATCTTTAACATCGTATTTTCCTTGTGACAGAGGCACCCGAGTAGATTTTGGTTGTTACTTTGAGAGTATTCACATCAAGAAGAGCCATACCCATTATTGAGGTCTTGGCCTTGCTAGACCTCGGCTCTTCTCAATGTGAATACTCTCTTAGAGTACAAAACTTGAGACCCCAGTCGAGTAGACGCTTAATATTACTGTGACAATTTAAGTACTTTAGTTTGTTACTTATAATGGTTTCACATTTTTTCTAACAGACCACACTTGTGAACCCTTCCCAGACTCAAACAAGCATGGCTCAGACACAGGCACTGTTTGTCCAGAACTTACAGCCACAGTTTGCTATAGCACAGCCTGGGTTCATCATCAGCAACCAGTTTGGTCAACAGGTAGTATGGTCACTGGGATATGTTAGAACAACTCTTGCAAGATAAGGTTTTATAAAGAAGAGATTTTTGAAGAAAAATTTGTTTACTATGAAGCTGTCCAATTGTTTGCAACTCATGTCTGGATAAATTTGACAGTGAAAAAATTAAAAAAATTCTTGTTTCACACCTCAGCTCTCCATGGGTGCTGCAGGAGCCTTTGCAGGTATCCAGATTACTCCTCAACAACTACAACAACTGCAAGAATTACAACAACAGCAGCAGCAACTTTTACAACAACAGCAGCAAGGACAACAACAAGGACAACAACAGATAGTGCAACAACAACCTCACCAAAACCAGCCACAGGGTCAGCAACAGCAACAACAGCAGTCCCAGCAGCAACCAGCTGTATTATCCACAAGTCAACCTAATATACAGGTAATAGATCAGCAACCAGCTGTATTATCCACAAGTCAACCTAATATACAGGTAATAGATCAGCAACCGGCTGTGTGGCGGCACAAATTGTCGCTGGCACAAATTGTCGTCCTTAGGTGGTGACAAATTGTGTAGTTATTGATGGCACAAATTGTCGCCGGCACTAATTGTCGACCTTAGGTGGCAACAAACTGTGTATGCATAGGCCGCACAATTTGTTGCCCTGCACAGATTGTCGCCAGTTACAATAATGTATACAATAACTTCTGTGCGTACATACAAATGAAGGGTTCGCTAGCAAAAGTAAATATAGTCTGGATGACTGGTGCTATATTTTGGCCAAATTGCTCAAAATGTGGAAAAAGCATGAAACTTGGCACAAATGTTCTTTGGTCTATACTGATCATTTTCAAGGGCAGTGCCCAAAATTTCAAAGCGTTGCTTAGCAACTGTTGCTATGGAAGTGAATTTCCTTAGTAACAAGCTAATTAGACCTTTCTTGTCCAGTTTAAATTGTTTAGAAATGCTTATAACTATGTTTCAGGGCATCAGAACTGTCACTTGACTATTTTAAGGCAATTAAAACCTAAATTAACCTTAGCTACGATTGCTAGGCAGCATATTACCCTAGCAACAAGCATTTAAATTTGCGTTAGTCTATTAAGTAAGGCAAATCTATAATATTAGCTAAGAACTACACTTTTGAGCAAGATGTTCATACTTTTAATCCAGTAAGTTGAAACAATTGTGTGATGTTAAAACATTGCCAGTGCAGATATCTAAGGCAGCATGTTCAAAGTTAGTAACCAGCCCCATGCTNTTTAGATTTAAATTATAAATTAAATAAAAGGGCTCTTGATTTTCGGTTTCACTCATGAATTTGGAACACAAGACTTTTGCTGGTTTGAAAGACTTTGGAGGAGAGACTGAGAGACTAAATATTCCCTTATTCATATTATGTATTCTTATGAAGCTTAATTTTTTTCAGTGCTCTGCCCCAAAGCAGCTAACTAAGATGTTATTTACTGATATTTTGCCAGTGTTTCTTAGTCTGCCATCACTTGAACATCCCTTGCTGTTTTGAGCTGCCAATCCTAAAAACACAATATAATGAGCTTTTTAATTTATTTATGACTTTCTCAAGGAAAGATGATGAGGATGATATTGTTCTCTGATTGTTTGGCACTGTGCCTGACTGTGCATACATTACCTTACATTATTGCTACCTTTCCACGCCCTCTTTTCACGTGCTTGATACAATCCTGTTTTTTTAAGCGGTATATTATTCATGAATTGGTTAAAGTGCATGAAATATTCATGATGAAGGCTTTAGGAATAAGAAAGAATCCATAAGTTTCTGATTTGCATTAGTCATTTAGAGTTGAACTAAATTTGACCTGCTGCTAATTGATTTTATACCTATATTTGTTAAATATAAAAACTAACCAATGTAAAGAAGCATATGTTAGTCACAGTATAGTATATTAAGTTATAATTTGATTAATTAATACTACAATATAATTTTTACAGAGAATAGAGTCAGTATACACTCGTCCCAAAAGTTCAGAAAGATGATTATTTTGAATAATTAAAGAATAACCATATGAGCTAAAGTAAATATTTTAATCAAATATTGATGGATAATGTACCCACCAGTTCATTACTTCTTGAAATTTCTGTGGGATAACAGCAATATTTATGAATGTGGGTTCTTAATTTCATTTTCACAAATCCTGCAAATGAATGACAAAGTTTGAAGTTTGTACTTTTAGCAAGTCTTGATGATAAACAGTAAAAATCTTTATTTTAGGCATAATGTTTTAAAATAAGGTCTTGAGGTTACTCACCATAAGTTTCGTGTGAAGCCTTCAGTGTTTTTTGTCGAGACTTGCTTAAACTTTGTCATTTTCATGACAGTAAAAACTTTTACTGACTTTTGTCATTTTGATGCCAAATGTAGCTTGGATGTTTGGAGAAACAATACAGATAAAACTCCTGTGTGTATAGAAGTTAATCAAACAGTGCCACATCTTATATCCACAGAATTGTTTTTAGGAAAAGAAAAACAAGCTGGAAGAACTTTGGCTTAGTTTCTTCTAGCATGTTGTATGGTGTCACAACCAGCACAACAGTGACAAGTTTGTCACAACTAACAGAATGTAGCAAACTCTTGCCACCACTAGTATTGTTAGAGCACTATAGTTTTCAGCTGATTACAAAGTAATTTAACACCATAGACTAAAGTGTTCATTTTGTTTCAGAAGTAGGAATGAATGGAGACATGGGACACAGTGACTTACAGTCAAGATCTAATACAGGCAATGCCGTTTCAGATATACAGAACAAAGCCCTGAATCTGGTATGTTATAGATCACAAATATATAGCATAACATCTTACTGTGATAGGATTTCCAAAACTTTTTGTATGTGTTGAATTATCTGAAACAGTGCATTATAATTTAGAACCTGGCTGACTGGAATCAGAAATAGCATGGTCCTGCTTAGGTGAATGGAAGACTTAATGCAGAATTTAAAAAAAATTGGTGCAGTAAGGGACCTTTTGTGACCAGTTCCTCTGGTGGCACTTAAAAACTTACTTTTTAAGGCACTGTTGTTCTTAAGGATAATGTTAGCCTTTGTCAAGAACTCCTTATTTACTAGATTACATACATTCTTTTCAATAACAGATAAATCTTCAGTATTCAGGGACTAAATTAAGGATATTGTTATCTTTTATTATTGTCCAGGTACTAAAAATGAGTTTTTTTCTACGTCTAATTATTTAATAATTCATGTCTTTTTGCTGATTTAAAACAATGTTTTGCAATGAGAGATATAAATGCCAATATTTTATATTTTTGAAGGCATTTTCATTGCTTTAAATCATCACAAACATAGATGCATTTTAATTAGATGCATGAAAAATCTCTTTTTTGGTATCTGGATGATAATAAAGGCTTACAATATCTTTAACATGTATTTTCCTTGTGACAGAGGCACCCAAGTAGATTTTGGTTGTTACTTTGAGAGTATTCACATTGAGAAGAGCCATACCCATTATTGAGGTCTCGGCCTTGCTAGACCTCGGTTCTTCTCAATGTGAATGCTCTCTTAGAGTACAAAACTTGAGACCCCAGTTGAGTAGACGCTTAATATTACTGTGACAATTTAAGTACTTTAGTTTGTTACTTATAATGGTTTCACATTTTTTCTAACAGACCACACTTGTGAACCCTTCCCAGACTCAAACAAGCATGGCTCAGACACAGGCACTGTTTGTCCAGAACTTACAGCCACAGTTTGCTATAGCACAGCCTGGGTTCATCATCAGCAACCAGTTTGGTCAACAGGTAGTATGGTCACTGGGATATGTTAGAACAACTCTTGCAAGATAAGGTTTTATAAAGAAGAGATTTATGAAGAAAAACTTGTTTACTATGAAGCTGACCAATTGTTTGCAACTCATGTCTGGATAAATTTGACAGTGAAAAAATTAAAAAAATTCTTGTTTCACACCTCAGCTCTCCATGGGTGCTGCAGGAGCCTTTGCAGGTATCCAGATCACTCCTCAACAACTACAACAACTGCAAGAATTACAACAACAGCAGCAGCAACTTTTACAACAACAGCAGCAAGGACAACAACAAGGACAACAACAGATAGTGCAACAACAACCTCACCAAAACCAGCCACAGGGTCAGCAACAGCAACAACAGCAGTCCCAGCAGCAACCAGCTGTATTATCCACAAGTCAACCTAATATACAGGTAATAGATCAGCAACCGGCTGTGTGGTGGCACAAATTGTCGCTGGCACAAATTGTCGTCCTTAGGTGGTGACAAATTGTGTAGTTATTGATGGCACAAATTGTCGCCGGCACTAATTGTCGACCTTAGGTGGCAACAAACTGTGTATGCATAGGCCGCACAATTTGTTGCCCTGCACAAATTGTCACCAGTTACAATAATGTATACAATAACTTCTGTGCGCACATACAAATGAAGGGTTCGCTAGCAAAAGTAAATAAATCCAGTCCGACAAGTGACCCATTTGAATGAATGCGCCACCCTGCTGCTTTAGCACTAGTTAATTAATGTTAAATAAATTAATTAATTTGTGCCGTCAATGCCTACACAATTTGTCTCCACCTAAGGACGACAATTTGTGGCGGAGACAATTTGTGCTGTCACACGGCTGTATTATCCACAAGTCAACCTAATATACAGGTAATAGATCAGCCAGGAGGAGAGCAGTTATTATGCCAGTATTGAGCAGGGGAGTAATAATGATTGAGTTTTTTTCTTGAAATTTAATTGTAGATTAAAGTTACTGTACTTCTGTAGATAGATACTGTAGATAAATTAGGGTGGTTTAGGCACAATTCAACAACTGAAATCAGCAACCAGTTGGATTGGGTTCTGTCAGGTAGATATTCATGGAAACTTATCAGACTAGTTTGCTGTTCTTCTCCATGTTGTAAAGGAAATAATCTCAGGAAGGAAATACAACAAGTGGTTACTACTGCTGTTGATTGCAAAGGCCCAAAGGAATAAATTAAGGGGATTAAAAATTCCTAACAAACAGATCTTAATAGCATTTTTGATTAATAAATATGTAGTCCATGGGACATTTTTAAATTAAGTTATTAGTGTGTTATTCTGTGTTCAGGATGCTCTCCCCACCGTGTCAAAGTTATAGGTATGTGTTATTGTGTTCAGGGTGCTCTTCTTACTTTGTCAAAGTTATAGGTATGTGTTATTGTGTTCAGGATGCTCTTCTTACTTTGTCAAAGTTATAGGTATGTAATATTGTGTTCAGGATGCTCTCCCTACTTTGTCAAAGTTATAAGTATGTGATATTGTGTTCAGGGTGCTCTTCCTACTGTGTCTGTCCAGCAGCCCTTACAGACACAGCCACAGGTGATGGCCGTGGCCCAGCCTGGACAAGGGGGCCAGCAGTTACAGCAGTTTGTTCTCCTCAACCCAGCCCAGCTACCTCCATCAGTCCAGCCACAGTTCCTGGTCCCTAACCAACAGGTGAGCACAACACTTGCCACAGAACACAGCTACTGCTGCTCATTACCAGAGTCAATTCTTGGGAAGATTTCTTGGATTTTATTCTGACTCAGTTACATCTATAAGTAGCAATAACAAAGGGAATTTTAGTATTTCAGGAGATTATTGAATTTCATGAGAAATTAATCCCTGTGTTTGCTTAGGTCATTATGTGCAATGTTTTGATTACTGAGATGTTGTCAGAAAAGTGATACTAAGTTTTTGTTCTTCACTCATATTGTTAAGTGCAAACACAAGAAAAAGAGTTATAAAGGAAAGCTGAGAAAATTATATGAATAAATTTACCATCTCTTACTGTATGAAAAAAAAATGTGCAATTTTTGTACCACGATTTTTCAGGGACTGTTACAAGGTGTTACCATGGCGACCAGTGTCCCCTCTGTGATGGTTCCCAGCAGCAGTCAGTCCGCAGTGAGGACCCAGTCTCCAGCCACCACCAGTACCGTGGCTAATACTCAGGCTGGCCTCACATCACCATTAGCTCTTAACCAGGTACCATTTGATGCTGGTTGTAGTGGGAGTGCATAAATAGTTGATGATCTTTTAAAGCATCTGCTTTGCTATAGTATACATAGAAATACAGAGAATAAAGTCTTTAGAGTTCAAACATTATAGCTCTGTTTTAAAATTAGTGATAGTAAGTTCAATTTTATATGTATTTTATATAATTATACCTTTAAGTAACTTTTAAAATTAGATTAGTAAGGTTATGATAATAGATATGTTTTCTTTAAAATTAATCTATTTTTACCGTAATGAAGTGTTTCTGTATGTTTTTGCTGAGAATTAAGAATCTTGGACTAGCCATGATGCATGCACATATTTCACCACTACCTGTGAATGGTGTCATATTTGTGAAGTCACTGAGTACATACTGAGAACTGAAAAGCTACTGTGTTGGCAGATCCAGGGATGGAAAGGGGCAGTGGGACACAAACTAATAAATGACCTCTTTATTTGTAGTTCAAAAAGAGAGAAAATATATGTGTATAATCTTGTGCGCGTGTGTGTGTATGTGCTTGTGTATCTGTGTGTGTGTGTGAGTATCTGTGTGTGTGTGCGCGCGCACACACACATTGGCCTCCCCTCTGATATCTCTGGATCAGCCAATAGCACTCTAACCCAATGTTCTCGTAATACTAAATTTGCTCTAAATAACAGCAGGAGTACTAGTTGACATGATTTTTTTTAATGAATTATCTAAGATATTAAAAATCAGGTTGTAACACATTGATGAAACTTATTCTTGCAAATATGAACCTGGTTTACAGAATTCAGAATATATATGCTACTTACAGGAGACCCTATTCTGGGGAAGACACTTAACCTTCATTAAAAGTATAGACTAACCCTACATTTTAAGCAGATTATTAATTCTGTAACATCAGTCTCATGGGCATTAATATCAGTTAGTGTAGTAGAACAAGTATTTTCCCTAAATTGCATAAAATGCAATGTATGCATTAATACTTGGATAGATTCCCTTGCATTTGCAGCAGCATATTGGCAGGTATTATGTACACAAAAGAGGGATAACATAGCTAGGTACCTGTGAAAATAGACAACCATTTAAATTTTCTCTTATAGATAAGCCCTCTCTGTTAGAAAACGTTTCTCATTTTCCACTTAAGCATTCCCTTGTTCAGCATGTAAAACAATTTTATAAGACATGTCAAAATTAAATTTCTAGATGGTTCTTACTTTCAGTTTTGATACTGCATAAGACACTCCAGTTGTAACCTCTTCTAAATTTTATCTTTTTGATTCCAAAACTTAGCTATAAATATAATATTAACTAATCAGTCCAGATCTTAGAGCTAACATCCAGTGGTGCCATTTATTGGTGAATCTTACCCTGCTTTGTATGGCTTTATTTATATCAGCCTGAAGAGAGCTGTGAACTTGACGACCTTGAGCGCTTTGCTAGGCTTTTCAAACAACAGCGGACAAGGCTAGGTAATGTATTAGATAAATGTGATCGGCAGCAACCCTTTCGGGTATCTACAGAGCTGCTCGCAAGTTACACACAAAGAAGGGAAGTAGATGGTCTATCAAAGCTAATCTTGATATAGGCTCACTGTGGCAGCTCCTCTCCCCCCTACCCCTACCGCTACCCCTCCCCTCTTGAAGCTAGCCCTAGAATTTGAGGACCATGAGTCTTGAGGTGTCCCTCACACTTTTGAGGGTGGACCTCCTGCCCTAGCCATGGTACAGGGATGATCAACAGTGTCTTCTCTCCTGCAAGCTATATATTCTGGAAAACGTGGTATGATATGATGTGGTGGGTTTTTGTTGTACTAGGTTATGTACTTAAATAAGGAAAACTTTGTCTTGTTCCTCTAACAGCAACAAGATGAAAATATTGACCTAGAAGAACTAGAACAATTTGCAAAGACATTCAAACGGCGGAGAATAGAATTGGGTAAGCAATGCTTGTGATGTTTAAATGGATGATGACAGGAGGTGTATTCAGTTTTATGTTTTTGTTTAAAAAAAGATACTACTGGAAAAAATATTTCTTACATATGTGCAGAGTGTCAAGTTCCTATTTTTTCCTATTTTTTGGTGATATTCCTTTTTTTATTTTCATCTTTTTTCCTATTTTTTGGCCTGGAAATTGTGTTTAACTTATGTGTCAAGTCATGTAGGTTATCAGAAAATAAGATGTGAATACCTTGGTCAATATTGAACTGTTTGTGAAAGTTTTGAAAAATTTGGCAAAGGCATTGGCCAGCAGCACTTAGGTCTACATGCCCTGGTAAAGTACAGTGCAGGAAGGTGAGGAGATTACACAAAACTTCAGGTAACGTTGCATGTTTTGATGCCTATGTATGGAACATACTGAAGTCTTTTGGCTGGCATCTGACTAAACCTGCTACTTGTGACTTGTGGTATTCTTGACCAGTGGGATGCCATGTCTGAATTCATCAAAATGTTGCCAAAGGATGTGAAGAAAGCATCATAACCCGTCAACTACACAAGAACAACTATGATAAAATTGTGTGATTGTTAAGATACTTGTTGAAAACTTGTCCCCTCACCTTCCTATTTGGCACGTTTCGCACCAGAGATTGTCCAGCGTGCATCACTCCCCAACGGATATGCAATATGAACTGAGATTATACAAATACATTATTTTGATTAATTTTGAAGCTTTCTATCTATTTTTCTTTTGATTATGTTAATTCAATGAAAATATATGTGTATGTTGGTTTGAAATAGGATTAATGCTTGTATCCTATTTGTTATTTTTATTTAATATTTATTTATTTATTTTTTGGACTTAGAATCTCCGAAAGCTCCAATGAGCAGTTCCTCATATCATCTGAAAAATAGTTCAGAGTTGAGAAAAAGAACCCAAATATAAATAATGAGAGAGCCAGTGAATGTTCACACAATGAAATTGTGGTTTAGATTGTGAATTTAACATTCACGCTTACAAATCCACAGCTCATAAAACACAAATTGCATTTATTGTTCATGAAGCCTGAAAAATCGAAAGCAAAACAGTCAGTAGTAGGAACAAAAAAAGTTGTCCATTAAAAAATTTGATTATTCACTGGTTAAGAAAATTAAAAAATGTTAAAGCATGTTTTCGTCAGTTAACATGATTGTTTTTACTACGGAAGCACAATGTATGATATGTATGTCCCTTTCAAACAGATATGTTACAGTTACAGGACTGAATATTGGTAACTTATTACTTTCTGTTGCTGTCTTAAAGTTTGTTAGACAAATGTTTGTTGTTACACTAAATAATGTTTATTACGGAGTGTTGGGAGGCCATCTTTCTTATAAAATAATACCTATTTTTCCTAATCTTTTGTAGTAAAATACCCATTTCCTTACCTATTTTATTGAATATTTTTTCCCATTTTGCTGAAAGGTATATTACAACTTGACATCCTGTACTTGATATATCCACTAGAAGGTTTATGGCAATCTCGGTGCAAATTTTTCCTAATAATTTAAAACAAAGAAATTTAAAGATGGGAGAGAGAGCTCCTAATGTGAAAGTGTTGTTTCTTTGTGATCAGGTCATTGTGGTGTCATCAGCTTGTGTAACCTTGCAAGATATCATTCCACACATGTAACTTTATATTATTCTTTCCAGGGTTTACTCAGGGAGATGTGGGCCTGGCCATGGGAAAATTATATGGCAACGATTTCAGCCAGACAACAATATCCAGGTTTGAGGCCCTAAACCTCAGTTTTAAAAACATGTGTAAGTTAAAACCTCTCCTACAAAAATGGCTTGAGGATGCTGACCAGCTGACCAATAATCCATCTGCACTGACTGCCGGGTCGTCACCAGTTACACCAGAGTCCATTGGGCGACGGCGGAAGAAGCGCACAAGTATTGAGACCACTATTCGTGTCTCCCTTGAAAAGAGCTTCCTACAGAACCCAAAACCCACCTCAGAGGAGATCTCTATTCTGGCAGACTCAATGAACATGGAGAAAGAGGTGGTCAGGGTATGGTTTTGCAACAGGAGACAGAAAGAGAAAAGGATCAATCCACCATCCAACACCTTGATGAACCACACATCACTGAGCATGCCCAGTCCACTTCCTCCCATCAGCCCCACATCCATCATGGCGCACACGTGTCTACCTACAAGCATTGCTACGCCTTCATCACTGGGCCTCACAAATCATGGGTCCCATCCTGTCAACCTGATTAATACCTCCCAAGTGTCTAATAATAATAATAATATTAACTCACAAGTGACCAGTGCTTCCCCAATTATCACTACTGAACTAAACACTGCTGGCCTGAACACCACTGACTTGACCACAGCTGGTATGACCACAATGGCCAATGTTGGCCTGTCTGCTGGCAATCAGCATATTAACTCTGTAGCTGAGGAGAGAGCGGAACCAACTTGACTTGCACTTTAAAAGTCATTACTGTAAAATATATCTGTGTTGTCAATAAAGCAGGCTGTGCTTTGCAAGGTAATCCTAGCTGATTAGTTTTGAAAGTTCCAATGCGGTCAGATAATATATTTGGCCAGCAGTAGCAACACTGCTAGAGAGTTCACAAGTTACAAGACAATCTAGTGGGATTTCTTAATTTCTCATTGTAAGATTTCACAACTGCTTTCACTGAATGATTCTGGAGGCTTTGTGTATTCCTGTGGAAAAATTACCAAATATCAAAGACTGCACAGTGGCAGAATTTAGAAACTGTGACTCCATATGGTCACTTCACAGCCTGATTAGACCTACTAGAGATCACCAAACAAAAGAGCACCTGGATGTCATGAATCACCTGTAAACTAGCTGTTACTGGACTGTTCCCATGTTGACCATGGACAGAGTGTGGCTAGTTGTGTATCACTGGTACACGTAGAACAGTGGAGTGTGATTTGTGATCAGTTTGTCCTATGATGGCAGGGGACTAAGGACAAACACTTGGACACTGTGTGCTGGAAGTATTGACAGCAAGGAATGACACCAGTCAAAGCAGTTGACATCAATCAGGTTCAAGGTGCTGGTGGTCTTGTTATTACTGGGATATGTGGCCCCAAGGGATTTTTGTATTAACTTTGATTTCTTCAAATGCTTTAAAGTATTTGATTTGATATTGCTTTAATTTAAAATAATTGCTCTGGATTTTTTTCCAATTGGGAAACACAGCCTAGAGAATGAACTTTGGAAAAATAATTCTGCAGATACTATAGTCTAGAAAAACATCTCCCACACAAATAGGTAAAGTTTTTGAGATGATAATCTGCAGAACAGTGATGTCATTGTCTAAAACTCATGATGCATGTACCTTGTTATATGGCCTGTTAATAGCATAGGAAAGCCAGATATTGTGTGATGGAAGGTATGGACTACGTAGGAGGCAATTGGACTATATAAACAGGTGCCCTGTGACCTAGTCCCCTGACTGAATGATATTACCTGATATGATTATACATAGTGTAAAGCAAGTTTTCATATGGCTGAATTTTTCATATATCTCATTTTTTTCTCAGTATCACTTTTTGTTAGTTATTTATTTTTTTCATGTAAAGTTTTTTTAATTAACATTTTTGCATTTGTTAAATCTTTTTCACTAATGATGGAAAGTATTAAAGTTAACTCTTAAATATGGTTCAGTATATATTGCAAAATTAACCTTATGCTGTGAATTGAACACATGCATATATGTAAAATGGATATTTTTAGTTGGAGAAATAGCAACATTTCTCATAACCACATCTAAAATTAAGCATTTCAGCATTGAATTACATCTATAAGGATATCAGCAAACTAAATGTACAGTCATAAGAAACTATAAAAAAAGACTAAAAAAAAAGTACAAATCATATTTTGAATAAAATAGTACTAGCAGGCTCTAGGACATATTTCTATATTACAATCATTTATTTTAAAGGCACTTAATATGATATCAAGAAAGATGCATGTAGTATAGAGCTTTTTATGTGTACATGGGGATTTTGTAAATAGGTATGTTGGCTTCAGTGAGAAGCAAATTGTGCAAAATGTTTAGTATCATCCTTGTTATGTGCTTCGTGTAATCCAAACTTTAGTTCTTAATCAGGTGTCATGCCTTGTTGATTTGTGTGTTGTCCTATAGTGGACTAGCATACAAAGCATAATAATATAAATATATTATGTTCCATTCCTTGGTTTATGATTGCTCATTACAACAACAGAAGTGACTTATCAGAACCCTAAAAGCTGTTGGTTACCCATAAAACCTAAATAGTTATATACCCGAAGAAAGTTTCAATTTCTATGGAGAATGGAAGTTGAGATCTCACGTTTGATAAAAGTCTACTTGCAATCTGTATCATTCAAAACATTTGCTTTGACAGAATCCTTTTATTTCATCAGTTTGGTGATGTATTACAGTGCAATTTGTACACACAAAGCAAACTTAGAGGAAGTCTTACTTGTATAATGAAAATAGAAGTGCCTCTTCATTTTTTTTGGACAAATTTATCTGTAAAAAAAAAATAATAATAAAAAAAATAAAACCAAATATCTGAGGCAGTGGAAAAAAGGGCCCTTCATCTACCTCCTGTTTCTTATGATGCAAATTTAATATCCAAGCAGGCTTTATATGTCTTTGGTGACATCATTCTGTATATGGATTACTATTATTGTTATTTCAATATTGTATCATATAAAATTATCATTTTTAATCTTGCTTTTTTAAATGCAATATTCTCATTTACTTTCACTGCCTCCTTGCAACTGCTTAAATGAGTTGATTTTTATGTACAGACAGATGTGTCTGTTCATGTAGCAATCACCTGTGTCTGTTGCCGCTGTCATCACTGTGCACTTTCTGTGTAATTTCAAACTTACAGTACTGATGAATATTCATAAATCACAGGTTGAGTTTAAAAATTGGCTTGATTGGACCATTTTTAAAACAGTTATGCTATTTTTTCAAATTTTTATCCATCGTTATACATATGAAAACTGATTTTCCTTTTGTCTCCAAACTTGCAGAACTGATCAATATTTATAAAATACGGGTCATGTTCGAAAATTGGTTTGATTGGACCATTTTACTAAAAATTGTGCTTTTTCTTAAGCAAATTGCATCTAAATGAAGAAAACATACTGGCACTGCCACTTCATTTGTTCTAATAGGAAAACTTAGTTTCTTTTTTTTTTTTTTAACTTTTAAGAATGAATCTTATGATTGATCTACAGCTCAAACTGGTAAAACCTGATTGGATTATTTTTCTTTCTTGAATTTATGCAATTTTTAGTGAAATTTTCATTTTTTTCGTATTCTGTTGTTTTTTTTTCTTCATTTTTCAATCACGCATTTTTAGGTGTGACCTTGTTAAAATGTGGTGGTGATAATGCTGTTAAAAATTATATAATATTGATTTTAAATTGACAAAATAACATTTTTGTGCATCATTTTTTTCTTGCTTTATGTCTGTACATTTCACAGCTTTGCTGCCTTGTTTCCACCTTAAAGTTATTGTGCAGAGTAAGTTTGAGTATTTTATTTCGACTTACAAAGAGATATTTGTCTGTATACAATTGCTGACTTTGGCAGAATTCACCTTTTGGCTAGGTCCAACCCCAAACTTGCCAAGAGGTGACCAAAACACAAAGTATACATATAGCTATAGCTGCTTTATTACATGGTCATGATTTTGAAGGCACTTTGAGAACTTTAAAGAGTTAATTGTTGTACAAGTAAGAGGGAATGCATGGTAGTTTAGGGGGGGGGGGGTCTCTACAGTGCAATATCTATAGTACCTTGGTTTGTCAATATGAGTGCATCTGTCCATTTCATCAGTCTGTCATGCAGTTCCAGCACAAGGAAGTGGTAATAAATTGAGCATTCTTCAGCAGCATATGGCAGGAGCATCCTAAACACGGTGTGCAATTGTGGCACGTCAGTAGTCTCATAAAGTCTGCCTTACCAAATTAGTTTGTGTCTCAAAGCCTTCATTGAATTTTGAGATTAATAATTCATTAATTTTTATAGAAAATGTGAATGGGAGATACATGTTTATTTTGAAGCATTTGAAAATATTTTTTCACACGACTGCTCCGAATTGATTCATTTTCCAATTTCCAAGAAATGACGATGTATCTATAGCTTGTGTAGTGGCCATGGAGATCCAAGATGGCAGTGTGTGTTGAGAAGTAAGAAAGTCAACCCACTAAAAATATTTTCCCAAATGTGACTGCCTTTGGACTAATCGATAAGCGCCAAAAATCGTGATCATGTAACAAAGCAGTTTAAAGCTTGGCCAGAGAGTCTGCTAGGCTTTCAAAAGTAAGACATTTCAGTGGCATAAAGATCACATGTACATTCATTGATAAAATAAATATAACATTCTTTATATTTTATACTATAAACCCATTTTTAATGCTTTATGAACTTAGAGTAAGATGTAATATTAATTTAACACAAATGGCTTCAGTATATTATATATTGTGTAGTAAAGAGAAGTGTTTACTGGCCTAGAAAGGTTGAGATAAATTGATGCAATATGTTACTGTAGTTAAGCTAAGCTGAATAGAATTTGTATATTTACTATAATTTTTACTTTTGTAGAGGTAAGTGTACATAGATTAAATTTTCATTTTAATGCTATCTCTGTTGTGATGTTGCTACAAAACTGATATTTTCTCAGTTTTAATGAATTAAATAGACACTTGTTTTAAAGATAATTTTAAAAGTGATATATAATAACATGTTTTTGAACCTCAAGCCCAAAACCCCTGCCCCACTAGCCCGTTGTTTTCAGTGAGCAGTTGCATTTTTATATGCTCTCGGAAGGAATGTATGTTTTGGAAAAGGTTTTATGGCAAATATTATGATGGTCTCATTCATACCTAGATTTCATTTAAATTATGTAACATATAGTAAAACAAGGTTAACATTTAAAATTGAATCTGTTTACATATTTGTTTAAAAATATTGATTTAAACATAAAGAGTTAAAATACCAAAATTGGAGCAGTCAGTACTAACTTTAACGTTGTGGACAGCAATGTGTAATCGTCCTAGCAAACAAAAAGGGGCGTGAGAAATGATTTTCCCAGAATGATTAAAGGCATAATAACTTTATTTTGTCCAAAAATTGGATTTTCCTGGAGTAAACGGCAATTTTCCCGTACTAACCAATGGTTAATTACTCCCTTCCTGTATTCAAAGTTAGTTCAGGGTTTTTCTTAAAAGTTTGGTTTTTTGTTTGAGGACTGCATCACGCGTCTGCTTTCTTCTGCTGCCATTTGTTGTTTCTAATGAACGCGAGAATCCGCATGACACCCCAACATCATTGGCAACGGATGGCTTGACAGTCTGGAAGAAGGGCATGGAAAGCCCGATTGACAAGTACAGGTTTTAGTTTTACTACAATATAACAATGGTTTTAGTGGTAAAATGTAATCAAATATATAACCATGCGTTGTTTACAATGAATTTCTTGCGGAATTTTGAATCTTAAACGAACAGTTATTATTGCTTTAACTACTGGTTTGGAAAAGAAGGGATTTTCACATTCCTTGGCTGTCATCTAGATAAGTTGATAAAATTCACATAAAACGACTTTATTATACCAAGCTAGCTTACCATGATGAAAAAATGTGCAATCAAAATTGTGTATATAGTCAGATGTTAAACAACTTTGATAGCATTGTCATATTCATGCCATTTTACGTAATTTATTTTGCATTGCCGATTAAGTTGATTTTGTTCAACCTTCCGCTATAATAATGTTGAACAAAGAAGCGAATGAGAAAGCTGTGTTAAAATTTCAATTTTGACCATATTGTTTGCAATACTATACACTGATAATGGATTCAAATATCTAAGTGAAAATGCAAGCTGCTCTGATTTAATTCAATGAATTTGTCTTTTGAAAAACGTCATTTTCACATACATATCATTTTACAACCGAAAGTATAAAGGTTACTTTACACCGAAAACATTCTGTGAAGCAAGTTATCAAGATATTTCATTAACTTAAATAGCCACAAGTGGTCTTTTTCCCCTAAACCACTACTAATCCGAACAATTTTAGTGTGCATCGAAAGGCTCTCCAAATCGGGTCATACATAACCTCAGCACCCCCCCCCCCCCCAATTATACAGAAATTAATTTTTTAAGCTTATAGTTATAAACAGATAGATATATCCAAAATATATAATATAAACTAATACATATATTAGTTAATTATTATTTGTGGTTATAATTAAAATGATAAACCCTGAAATTAAATTGCTGCGGTTAAGCATCAGATGTTTGAAAGATGGAACCATAAGTAAATTGTGTACACCAACCCTGTTTACAAAGAGTTGCCACTTTATCGAGATAGGTAGACTATATTCTACCTAGGAATTTTACATGGAAGAAAAAATATTTTCCTACTCACGAATCACTACTTAACCCTTGCCTGCAGTTGGATGCCATTTTTAAACCAGTTTTTATAATCAATGACAATTAATATAGTTCTATATAATATAGTTACAAACTTACATGTACTCAGTAGGCTACCCGTGACGTTTATACATCCCAAATTTCGTCTTCCTGTACATTTCAAAAATAAATATTGACATCGGGTACTTTTACTTGAGGGGTTTTATTGTTTAAGGTTCCAAATTTGCACATGAAAAATGTGAATATGGACCATATTCAAACACAGATATTAAACCTCCAAATTGAAATTTTTCTCTGGTCTTGCCATGTTTCACTCTGCACACTAATGTCTCTTTTGTGCAATAGGGGACGCTTTATACTCAGTTAACCAGATTACCAATAAGTACCTCCACATACAGAAGAACCTTGGCTGTAAACAAAACATGACAAAATGCCACATATTCTACAATTGCCGTCTGAAATACTGTCGAATTTTCTGATTTATTTATCTAGCCGTGATTTATGTAGTGTATCTTTGGTGTGTAGGCGGTTCAGAGCGGCAGTCCAAGTTGACGAGTTGTGGAGACAAAGGTGTTTAGAAGGTAAACATTTAGATTAAACAACAGCATATAACGTAAAAATATTTACACGAGTTAGTTAAGTTACTTCTTTCGTATGGTGCACCATAGTATTATTGTGGTTTTGATATAAAGCTATTAAAGGGCACTGCCGTGTATTGTTCTAGTATTAGCACTTTAGCAGTACTATATTCGGTTTCTGAAATATACTAGATGTGCTAACGCATGAAAGCAAAGGCCACTAGCCCTTACGAAAAAGTCCTATATGATCCTATAGGACCCTATAGGAAATTGGGCCAATTTCCTATAGGATCGTATAGGATCTTATAGGACTTCTTCGTAAGGGACAGAAAGTACCATGGATGAAGTAAGATTTGCTTGCCTATCGGCCATGCAGTTAGGCCACTGTATACACTGTATCATTCTTTGGATCAATGAACCTTCGGACTATCGAACCCTCAGGTCAATGAATAAGTTAAAATGTTTCGAATTAGCGAACATTCTTACCACTGAACCTTCAGACTATTAAACCTTCAGACTATTTAAATGCACCCAACACGAAGGACGAGTTGGTGGCTCTAGGTGTTGTGTCTCTAGCACCCCATTTCCATAGATTAGATNTTATGGCAGGAGCATCCTAAACACAGTGTGCAATTGTGGCACGTCAGTAGTCTCATAAAGTCTGCCTTACCAAATTAGTTTGTGTCTCAAAGCCTTCATTGAATTTTGAGATTAATAATTCATTAATTTTTATAGAAAATGTGAATGGGAGATACATGTTTATTTTGAAGCATTTGAAAATATTTTTTCACACGACTGCTCCAAATTGATTCATTTTCCAATTTCCAAGAAATGACGATGTATCTATAGCTTGTGTAGTGGCCATGGAGATCCAAGATGGCAGTGTGTGTTGAGAAGTAAGAAAGTCAACCCACTAAAAATATTTTCCCAAATGTGACTGCCTTTGGACTAATCGATAAGCGCCAAAAATCGTGATCATGTAACAAAGCAGTTTAAAGCTTGGCCAGAGAGTCTGCCAGGCTTTCAAAAGTAAGACATTTCAGTGGCAAAAAGATCACATGTACATTCATTGATAAAATAAATATAACATTCTTTATATTTTATACTATAAACCCATTTTTAATGCTTTATGAACTTAGAGTAAGATGTAATATTAATTTAACACAAATGGCTTCAGTATATTATATATTGTGTAGTAAAGAGAAGTGTTTACTGGCCTAGAAAGGTTGAGATAAATTGATGCAATATGTTACTGTAGTTAAGCTAAGCTGAATAGAATTTGTATATTTACTATAATTTTTACTTTTGTAGAGGTAAGTGTACATAGATTAAATTTTCATTTTAATGCTATCTCTGTTGTGATGTTGCTACAAAACAGATATTTTCTCAGTTTTAATGAATTAAATAGACACTCAAACAAAGTGCAATTGTTTTAAAGATAATTTTAAAAGTGATATATAATAACATGTTTTTGAACCTCAAGCCCAAAACCCCTGCCCCACTAGTCCGTTGTTTTCAGTGAGCAGTTGCATTTTTATATGCTCTCGGAAGGAATGTATGTTTTGGAAAAGGTTTTATGGCAAATTTCATACCTAGATTTCATTTAAATTATATAACGTATAGTAAAACAAGGTTAACATTTAAAATTGAATCTGTTTACATATTTGTTTAAAAATATTGATTTAAACATAAAAAGTTAAAATACCAAAATTGGAGCAGTCAGTACTAACTTTAACGTTGTGGACAGCAATGTGTAATCGTCCTAGCAAACAAAAAGGGGCGTGAGCAATGATTTTCCCAGAATGATTAAAGGCATAATAACTTTATTTTGTCCAAAAATTGGATTTTCCTGGAGTAAACGGCAATTTTCCCGTACTAACCAATGGTTAATGACTCCCTTCCTGTATTCAAAGTTAGTTCAGGGGTTTTCCTTAAAAGTTTGGTTTTTTGTTTGAGGACTGCATCACGCGTCTGCTTTCTTCTGCTGCCATTTGTTGTTTCTAATGAACGCGAGAATCCGCATGACACCCCGACATCATTGGCAACGGATGGCTTGACAGTCTGGAAGAAGGGCATCGAAAGCCCGATTGACAAGTACAGGTTTTAGTTTTACTACAATATAACAACGGTTTTAGTGGTAAAATGTAATCAAATATATAACCATGCGTTGTTTACAATGAATTTCTTGCGGAATTTTGAATCTTAAACGAACAGTTATTATTGCTTTAACTACTGGTTTGGAAAAGAAGGGATTTTCACATTCCTTGGCTGTCATCTAGATAAGTTGATAAAATTCACATAAAACGACTTTATTATACCAAGCTAGCTTACCATGATGAAAAAATGTGCAATCAAAATTGTTTGTGTATATAGTCAGATGTTAAACAACTTTGATAGCATTGTCATATTCATGCCATTTTACGTAATTTATTTTGCATTGCCGATTAAGTTGATTTTGTTCAACCTTCCGCTATAATAATGTTGAACAAAGAAGCAAATGAGAAAGCTGTGTTAAAATTTCAATTTTGACCATATTGTTTGCAATACTATACACTGATAATGGATTCAAATATCTAAGTGAAAATGCAAGCTGCTCTGATTTAATTCAATGAATTTGTCTTTTGAAAAACGTCATTTTCACATACATATCATTTTACAACCGAAAGTATAAAGGTTACTTTACACCGAAAACATTCTGTGAAGCAAGTTATCAAGATATTTCATTAACTAAATAGCCACAAGTGGTCTTTTTCCCCTAAACCACTACTAATCCGAACAATTTTAGTGTGCATCGAAAGGCTCTCCAAATGGCTACGTACCTATACTCCCCCGCACCGATACTCCCCC